CCCTTGGTTTCTTGGGTGTCGATGATTTTGCCCTGGAACGCGCAACGTTCCCGCACCAAACATCAGTGGACGTCCTGGGGTCTCAGGGTTGGGTTCCCTGTGGAGGGTTTCGCGTGGACTGGCCTCCACTGTGTTTTGTGTTTTTGACTCGCCTGGTCGCATTGCCCCAGAGGTCTGCCGTCGGACCGTGGTCTGGGCCGTTGAGCGCGGCAGGCTCGGGTCAGGCAGCAGCGTGGCAGCGCCCCCTCCGCAGCTGGCGTGCCCCTTCGCTCGGTGGTCAGAGCGATCCTACGAGCCGAGCCGTGGGTCAATTGCTCGAGCGCCCCCCCCGCAGGGGAATGCAGTGGAGGGCCCATGCCAAGAAGCACCCTGCGTGCCTCCAGGTTGCCCTGGGTTTCTTGGGGTTCGATGGTTTTGCAACGGAAGGCGTGACGTTCCCACACCACAAATCAATGGACGTCCTGGGGTCTCAGGGTTGGGTTCCTTGTGGAAGTTCTCTTGTGGTCGGGGATTCCACTGTACTTGGAGGTGTGTGTGAATTTCTGGATGAACACGCACGGGAGCCTAGCCAAGCCAGGTGTCGTTGTGGTGGAAGTCGGGGACATCGCCGCCTTCCGGGCACCTGGGGTCAGGGATCTCTCTTTTCCAACGTGACAGAGCCGTGCGAAGGCGCCTCGAAAACGTGGCGCCGAGGGCATCTGTGCGCCGTCTGCCGGGGGGGGGGGCGGCCGAGAGGGGGGTGGTGACCAGGGGGGGGGGAATATCCTGGCGTGGGCCATGATGTTTCCTTCGTTTTCGTGGCGCCGCTTCTCATCCCATGGCGTCAGCGCACACGCCGCCGGCCATGATCTGCGCCCCACCCCCCCTCCCGGACGCCCCCCTCGTTGGCCGCCCCCGAGTCTCCCTCGCTCCTTCTCTCTCTCTCTCTCTTGCCTTGCGCTCCTCGCCCCGCGGGCCGCAGCCGCCGGGGCTCGAGAGGCCCGCGGATACTCCTGGGGGCTCCCAGGCTCGCCCCGTGCTCAAGCCAGGCGCCGGAGACGACAGGAGAGGGAGGTCGGGAGCGGAGCGGAGCGGGAGGAGGAGGAGGAGGAGGAGGAGGAGGAGGAGGAGGAGGAGGAGGAGGAAAGAGGCGAGCATTGGAGGGGGAGTGGAGCCGCAGCAGCAGCATGAGCAGGATCGGAGCGGGGAGGATGGGGATGGGGGAGCGGCAGCAGGAGGAGGAGAGGAAGACACGTGATGATCAGAGCAGCTGCCCGTTGCTCTTCGCCTTTGTGGTGCTGGGTTGCGTTCGACACGGTCGCCTAAACGTTCGCTACCTGGTACCCTGCGCGCCTCACAGTCAGCCTCGTTCTCTGGAAGAGTGAATGGAATCAGGAGCCAGGGTGGATGTGGTCCCTACCAATGGCCCCTTAGGTGCCCGTGGGAGTTAAGTGTGTGTATGTGTTTGCGTTTGTGTCTGCGTGTGATACGGTGTTGACTCATGTGTTGATCATACTTCGTGCCGTCGCCTTTCATTGCCATGCTGCTACAAGGACCGTTGCGAAGGCATTGCAAACGTATGCGCTGCATTAGTCATCGTAGACACATGTACCATTACAGTGATCATTGTCAAAACGACTCAGTGCATCGTGTGTATCGTTCTTTGTCGAGTGCAAGCCGTGCGGCTTCGACTCGTCTCCCCTGCGTTGCCGTGCTATCCTATCTTGTTATGTCCTCTCATGTCCGATCATATCCGACACATCTTCTTCGTTTACATGACCTCCTTGTGTGCAATGTTTTATCAAAGACGCATCTCGCGAACCACCGCCACCGTTGAGGTGCAGTGTCTAGCTGGAAACGCCTGTGAGGTGAAACGTTGAGCGATTTGACGCCATCTTGAAAATATTAAGCGCGAACTTGCTTGATAATGGGCGGCTTGGAGTCGTCTTAGAGAACAGTACGCTATACAGTTTGGCACGCCAAGCACCCCTCTCTCTCTCGAGGAGGAGGAGGAGGGGGAGGGGTAGGAGAAGGAAGAGGAGGAGGAGGAGGAGGAGGAGGAGAAGGAGGAGAAGGAGAAGGACGCCTCTTGGGGCCTCATGGGGGAGGGAACCTGGGGGTACTCTGGAGGGAGGCCTCCTTGGCACCCGCCGGCTGTCTCGGGGGGTCGAGCGGGAACTGCCACCTGGAACCCCTGATGGCAGTTCCAGATGGCAGTTCCAGCTCGAGCTCCAGATGGCAGTTCCAGCTCGAGTTCCGGATGGCAGTTCCAGAGGGCCACAGAGATCTCTCTCTCTCTCTTGGGGGCCCCTTTGGGGCTTCTCTTCGGCGGCGAGCCCTCGTGGATAGAATGCGGAGGGAGCGGGCCGCCGCAGAAGGCTCGGCATGCGCCTGGGCCCCCCGAGGAGTTCTCCGAGCCCCCTCCTCTGGGCCTCCTGGATGGGGCCTCTGGGCTATAGGGCATCTGCGCCTGAGGGCCCCGGGCCGCCGCGCCGGCCTTCAGGCCCCACGCCGCGGCGGACTCGGGCGCGCCCTGCCTTGCCTTGCCTCTCAGAGGGGGTCGGAGGATCGCGCCGCATCGCCGATGCATCGCCGATGCGGCTCGACGTGGAGCCCGATTTGCTTCACGCCCATGTCGCCGATGCATCGGCGATGCGGCGCGATCCCTCGACCCTGTCTGCTCCGACCCCATCTAGGAAACCTTTCTTTATCTCCGAGGGCAGAGACGGCGTCTCGTAAGTCGGGCCTGTCCTTTACAGGAGGGATATTCAAACGTAGTCAGAAAATCGTGTGGAGACTATTTTTTAATTTTTCGTCCAACATCCGCCTTTGGGAGGACATACCCGACCTAGAGCTTCTCACAAGGCCGGAGGGCCTCCGAGACGCCCCGCCTCCCTCCGCGAGAAGGCCTGCCTCCTCTCGCTTCCTCCGCGGGCGCGCCGCCAATCTCTGGCCCCTCTTGGGGGTCTCGGGGTCCCTCGCGGGGCTTGCTGCTGGGACCTCTTGGGCCGTCGTGGACATTCGCAGGACCGAAGGGCCGCAGAGCATGAATCGTAAGTCGGACGTGTCCCTCCACAGGAGAAATATTCAAGCATAGCCAAACAATAAAGTCTGGGGGCGATTTTCCCAGTACTTTTCAGCATTGGTTTTCCGTCTGTAGGTGGACATGCCCGACCTGTCATTCATCAGAATCCCTGGACTGCCGCAGGGCTATCAATGCTTTGCGCCTCTTTGCGGCCCCGCAAAGGCCCGCCCTCCCCGACTGCCCCATGCACGGCCCACGAGGGCCTCCGGAGGAGGCCCCGAGACGGCCGACGCGAGCTCCCCCGGCCAGGGGCCCCGAGGCGCCGTGCGGCGGGCTCGGAGGGCCCGACCCGCGCCCAAAGGGGGCCGCGCGGCAGAACCCCGAGCAGGCCCCGCAAGGAGGGCCGCGCGGAGGCGACGAGGGCCCTCGGACGTCCCACGCCAGCCCAGGAGCGACCCCAGGAGTCTTTGGGGGCCGCTCGGGGGCCTCTGGGGGCCTCCTGGGAGCTTCTAGGGGCAAGGGGCTCGAAATGTTCGCTCGGGCTCCCGCGTGGGCCGCTTGGAGCGTCTGGGAGGCCTCCAGTACTAGGGCCGTCTTTGGGCCCTCTTGGGTGGTTTTGGGGGCCGTCTTGGAAACCTCTAGGGGGGCCTCTTGTGCCGATCTCCTTGGTGGCATCTTGGGCCGTCTTGGGGCGTCGGGAAGCCGAAAAATCGAGAACGCCCGAATCTTGCAAAAACCATAGAACAAATCATTCAAGTTTGCCTGCTGGGGCCCTCTTGGTGTGCTCTCGGAGGCAGCTTCGAGCGTCTTGGAAGCCGCTTGGGCTGCCAGGAGGCAGTATTCGCCGCCTTGGACGAATTGTTCGGCGGCGATTCCAGGCGGACCGTCCTGGGGGCGTCTTGGGCTTTCTTGGGGCCTCTTGGGGGCCCCGGGACCCGCTTGGGGAGGATGGTATTCTGACGCGGGACCCCCCCAGAGACCCCCCCCCATCCTCCCCCCCCTGGGGGGAAGGGGCTTCCCTTCGACTCAACCGCGACGTTGCTCAGGTTCGTTTTGGATTCGCGGTGGCTGGCACCCTTGAGAAGGAGGGCCCCGGGAAAGCGGGTGGATCGGCGACGGGCCCAGGGAACGGGGGGTCAAGCGCGACGGCGACGACGACGACAAGGACGACGACGACGACGACGACGACGACGACGACAAGGACGACGACGAGGACGACGACGACGACGATGACGACGACGAGTCAAACAGAACAGCGTCCTCCACACGCCGACGGGGTCGGCGGAGTCACTGCGCCGAGGGGTGGAGCGTGCCGCCCACCACGATGTGTGCGCGCGCAGCAAGGAGAGGTCCCAGGAGGTCTGGGCCTCCTGGATGCCGGGGGCGGAGAAGAGGGGGGTGATGACTAGGGGGGGTTGGATATCATGGCGTGGGCCATGATATTTCCACAGATTTCATGGCGCCTCTCCTTATTTCATTACTTCCCTGGCCCCCCCGCTGGGCCGCGCACATGCCGCCGGTCATGATTTGCACCCCCCCCTCTTGGACACCCCCCTCTTGGCCGCTCCCGAGGACGGGGTCGGAGCAGATGGGGTCGGAGGATCGCGCCGCACCGCCGAGACATTTCCGATCTGGCTCGATGTGGGGCCCAGTCTGCTTCACGTCGACGTCGCCGATGCATCGCCAACGTCGACGATGCCTCGCCTGTGCATCACCGATTCTTCGCCGATGTATCGGCGATGCGGCGCGATCCGCCGACCCCATCTACTCCGACCCCATCCAGGGCGCCTAGGAAGCCCCTGAGGCCCCCCAAAGCCTCCGGGAGGCTTCCAAGAGCCCCTGGCGCGAGCCCCAAGACGTCCCTCAGACACTCCAGGAAGAGCTCCAAGATCCACCCACCCTGGCTTTGGATAGCTTGAAAGTCCCCCACGACTGCCCCCGCGCGCCCGAGAGGAGCCCCCAAGTGGCTTCGTGCTGTGTTGGGGCATGTGTGGGATTCATGACTCGCTCGCTCCAGATCGCCCCAAGACAGAGTCTCGGAGGAGCACAGGGTGCCCCGAGAGGCAGGGTCCACTTGTGGCTGTTTGGAAGGCCCATCAGAGGAGACTAGAACCTGAGCGCGCGTGAAGCGCGCGGTCCTAGTTACGTGCATGGCCGTAGTTATCTGCTGCATAGGCCCCGGGAGATGTTGTCGCAGTGTACGGCCTGTGCTCTCTCGTCGCTTCCTCCCGTTCCCGTCCAGCCCTCACCGAAGGGTGGTCGGCTCTGCGCACAGTCAGGGTGCCCGGCGAAGCCCGCTCGGGCCCCGGATGCCCGCCCTGAGAGCTTGGCCGACCAGTTTACAAGGGGGCATGCGCCCCACATGGCGACGGCCATCGTTCGGGCATTACGGTGAGGGCAGGATTCGGGCACGGTCACGGAGGGACGGATGAAGGCGCAGCATTCACGCAATGCACGACAGTAGTGCGTAGGCTGGTTGAGCGTTCGGCGCACGCATGATGAGCACCCACGGCAAAGTGTGCGGCTAGTCTGAGCAGATTTCAGGCCGAAGGACGAAACGAAACTTAGGTCGGGCATATCCCCCTACAGGCAGATGTTGGAGGAAAATAGTTTTAGAATATTCAAAGCATGTGAAACGTAGTTATACTACCGTCCCCATATTATTTTTAACTTTAACAATTTTGAATCTTCCCCCCTGTAGAGGGACAGACCCGACTTAAACGAAATGAAACACAATGAGTGAGGACGGGGAGAGGAACGAGGGGGGGCGAATCGAGGTAGGGTGCCTCCGAGGCGGGGATGCAACCGTAACCGCCCGCCTGGGGTGGATCGATCTTCAGGGACCGCGGCAGGCGGAGAGGGGTGACCCCCCTCCTCCTCCTCCTCCTCCTTCTCCTCCTCCTCCTCTTCCTCCCTCCTCCCTCCTCCCTCCTCCCTCCTCCTCCCCCTCCTCCTCCTCGTCCTCCTCCTCCTCCTCCTCCTCCTCCCGTCTTCTCCTCCTCCCATCTCCTCCTCCTCCTCCCATCTTCTCCTCCTCCTCCTCATCATCATTATCAGCATCATCATCATCCTCATCCTCCTCCTCCTCCTCCTCCTCCTCCTCCTCCTCCTCCTCCTCCTCCCCCTTCCCCAGTGCTGGCGGAATCGATCCCCGCCCTGCTCAAGGGGTACGCCCGCGAGCCTCGCGGAGGCCTCACGAAGGGGATCGCTCCCCCCCCCTTCTGGTTGTGGCCCTGTGGGCGTGGCGGGGTGGAGGGTGGACATTCCCCTGCTCTCTCCGAGAGCTTTCCGAGACTTCGGTCGCAGGGCCTCGCGAGTCCGATCGGTTCCCCCCCCCCCGCCCTGTGGCCGTGGCCATGTAGGCATGGCGTGGTGGAGAGGGGTACCGGTGCCCCCGCCCCTACCCCTTGGGGTGTGGGGTCGTGCTGCGGTGCCGTCGTCGTCGTCGTCGCCGTCTTCTCCCCCCCCCCGATCCGGTCTGCGGGGGAGGGGCGTTGGAGCCCTTGGGCCCAGCCCATCTGGGGGAGAGCTGTGAGCCAGGAGCGCGAGATCATAGATTCGGGCCAACTCCGTGTCCACCCCTTGCCGACGTGCCAGAGGAGGATCCCCCAGACGGTGATGCCTCTGGTGTCGGATTGCCTCTGATTTTGGATTGCCTCTGATGTCGTTTACATACACTGCGCGGGAGCTGCATTGGACGTCTGGAGCGTGATAGCCCCCCATAAAAAAAAAACGGCGATGATGGACAAATCCCCGCCTCGCAGTGCAGCAGGAGGCCCTCTCCCCACCGAGCGCGTGCCGGTGGCGTTTTGAGTGCCCAGCCAGGCGCCGCGCCCCGGAAGACTTTGGCAGCCATGGGCGGCCACATGCGGCTCTGGCACCCGAAGTGGTTTTCGCGCTACCTCTGGGGCTTCGTGGGCAGCGCTCAGCTCATGGGTGCTGCGCCGGCATTATAGAGAAAAGGCGGGAGACTCGGCCGGATGGCGATGGGGGGATCAGGACATGGGGGGATGAGTATACGGTACCGTTTTGTTGGGGTACAATTTGTACTTTCTCTGCGGGTTCCAAGTACAAATTGTACCTTCTCCCCCCCGTTAACATCCTCGCACATGTCGCGGACGTTGTCAGAAGTACAATTTGTACCTTGTCTGCGTGGCGTCGGTACAAGTTGTACCTTCTCCGTGGGGCGTAGGTACAATTTGTACCTCGGTTGCGCCTCTCTTCCCCCCTGGACTTATCCCCCCATGTGTATCCCGCCAAGAGACGCGAGGAGCTGGCGGTAGAATAGCAGTGATGACGGCGACAAGTGTCTGCGATCCACTACGAAGATTGACGGACACGCGGTGGAGTTCGAAGGAGAAAAGATGGCATAAACATGTACTGTCGGAGTTCCGCACAGATTTCCTGGGTAGGCGTTGTGCCCCCCTGGCGGCGCTTTTGTGCGCTCAGCGCGCCAGGGAGGAGGTTCAGCGCATATCCATAAAAACGAACGGACTTCCGACAACTTGCATGCATGTTGTTTTCACTTTTGCACCTGAGCTGATGAGCGAATCGGGAGAGCCTCTTATTCCCACGAGCCAGTCGCTAGAGCACTTGAGTAATTGCCAACATGTGCGTCTAGAAACCAGGGAGCGGTACATGAGGTGATCGCGGCGACAGACATTATCTACGTTTTTTTTGAGGGGGGAATTGCCAGACGCATATTGAAGTCTAGATCTCTACTTTGCTGAGCGCACGCATGGATGCCACGTTGCCAGTTTTTGCGCGGCCTGCGTCGATGGCGTCCTCCAATTTAGGCGTAAGCGTGGTTGTTCTGGCTAGTGGGACTTCTGTGGTGACGGTTTGCCGTTCATCAGCCGGCGCATGTGGTTTGCTGTGGTGCCCCATGTTTTCGTTGTGGTTCATGTCGTTGGAGTCAGCCAGCAGCCGTGGCCGGCCAGGGCAATGGCTGGCCATGGTGACCAGCAGTCGTCGCAAACCACACTTATGGCCAAAGGCTTGCACCAGCTATCGTTGCAAACCAGATTACGGGCTCACCCCCCATCATCGAAGAGGAGGCACACCAATATATCACGCCCCCCCCCGCCAGCAATGCCAGTTCGAACTCCCCCGTAGCAGATCAAGTCCGGCATGAATCAGATCCATCTCAGCGCAGAGGTGAAGGGGGGTGGGAGAAGTTTGAGGAGGAGGAAGAGGAGGAGGAGGAGGAGAAGGAAGAGAAGAAGGATGTGCAGAATGGTGCAGAGTGACACTGATGAGGAGCAAGTGTCGAAGAGGAAAAAATTGGAGCTCCGCGCGAATTCCTCGTATCCGCGCTGGGGCCCCCCCTGGCGGCGCCTCGGGCGCCGCCCCCGGCGGCGCCTCCTCGCGTCGGTGAGGGGAGCCCAGCGCCGACCTCTGACAGAGCCGCGCGGTCCGAAGGTTGATGCCTACGCCTCTCTTCTGCTCCCCTCAAACTCCTCCTCCTCCTCCTCCTCCTCCTCCTCGCTTCTCCTCGCTTCTCCTCCTCCTCCTCCTCCTCCTCCTCCTCCTCCTCCTCCTCCTCCTCCTCCTCCTAAGGGAGCGAGCGGGGGCGGGCAGCCAGCGAGACATGGTCCGTCCCCGCTCCTCGCACGCCGGGGGCGCACAGCCCGCGCTCCTTCCCCCGCGTGCAGCCTCCCGCGCGGGCGGGCGAGGAGGAGGAGGAGGAGCGAGGAGGAGGAGGAGGAGCGAGGAGGAGGAGGAGCGAGGAGGAAGAGGAGCGAGGAGGAGGAGGAGGAGGAGGAGGAGGAGGAGGAGGAGGAGCGAGCGAGCGCCGCGGCCGTGCGCAGCGGCCCGTGTGGGGGCGAGATTGGCACTGTGCTGCCCAGGCCACGGCAGGGCGGCGTGATTCATACATCTACGCATCTGCGCGGATCTGTGTGTGAGTATCTGCATCATGCACGTATCATGTACTGAACAAGGTGTGTGTGTGTGTGCATATATGTTCGCGTGCGTATGCAAACACATGTGCACTGGCTGAGCTGAATTACAGTGCCTGTTTGCTTGATGATGAGGCCGCTGGTGTAGCAGGACTTGGGTTGATACGCGTACCCTTCGGCCTGTTCAGAGAAGTCCCAGAGGTTTGCGCCATTCCGCCGACCCCCAGAAGAGGAGATGTGCGGCTTCTGATTCTGTATGCGCTGTTTGGCGCTTCCCGCCTTGCTGCCTGGGTGTGGTTGCTGATGAGTTGTTCCGCCAGGGAAGGAAGTGGGGGGAGGTCTGGTTCCCGAGGTGAGGGTTTTGGGGGGGGAGGGGGACTTTTCGGGAAAGCGGGGGGCGTCCAGGTTTCCCGGAGGAGAGGGGGGGAGATTTTTTCAGAAGGCGGGGGCGATCCCAGCTCTGGAGGAGGGGGGATCTTCTGATGCACATCGCCTCTAGAATGCGTGCGCTCTATGTCTGAATCCCTCGCTATCTACCCTATTGTGTTGTTCTCTCTCTCTCTCTCTCGCTCTCTCTTTTCTCTGTCTCTCTCACTATGTCTATATCTCTCTTTCTCTCTCCCAGGTATTCGTTCCAAGTGTGGTCAACCATCAGCCCCACCCACAGCTGGCCGTGCTGATGTCCCAACCGGTGCCCGCCCAGCGAAAGCATGATTCAGCGCGCGTCATAGTTATCTTCGTGCATGCTTTATTTGATCGTAGATTTTGACTTATTCCGTTTCAGACATCCTGTTGCATCTAGCCACAGCAGGTTTTGCCGCGGACCAGAGCTATGGCATCAATCGCGCCAAGAACCCTGAGGTGTTGTGGCCTTGGTGGCACGAGATCATGCGCAAGAAGGACGGCGCTGCCGCCGATATTGCGAACACATATTGTCTTGCGATGTTCCTTCAAGCTTACCAGACAGCACTTGCGACCTGGCTGCTGAAGGATCCTCGATGATGCTATGTGGCGCGCGACATGAAATTTTAAACCGGCCTGCGACACATTCGCATTGTTGAGATCTGGGCACATCAAGCATGGCTCATCCTTACCGAATTGCCTGCGGCAAGCCACGCGTGGCGGCGCGCAGAAGGGGGTAGGGGGAGGGGGGGAGGCTTCTTAGAAGCAGGCTGCTTCTTAGAAGGCGCCGGCCCTGCATCTAAACAGAAGGCCCGCGCCTTCCAAGTAGCAGGGGTCCTTCCAAAAAGCCTTCCCCCTTTCCCCTGCCCCCCTCTGCGCGTGGCCGACACGCCGCCGCGCCAGCGCGGCCAGGACAACAGGAGGGCGGTGGAGTGCAGGGCCTGTTCCAAGTCGGCGTAGTCTGCGAACGTGCGCAGGTGTTCAGCGCACCCTCTTCGTTTCGCAGCCTCGCTCCCGACGTCTTCCTGCATCTCGGAGGCTCCTGGGGAGCTTCGGGGCCTCTCGGAGCCAGATTGCCAAGGGCCGCCGCGAGGGAGAAGTGACTCCGCGCTTCGCGGAGCGCGAAGCACGCAGCTGCCCGTGTACTGGGGACCTCTGGGGAGCCTTCCGGGTCCCGTTGTGGGCCTCGGGGCCCCGGTGTCGGCGGGAACTGTTGGGGGGGCGGCTCTCGGCGGATCCTGCTTCCATCTGGGATCGCAGGCGATGTTCTGTCCCTCGATCCCCGAGTTCACCACCCACCAAACCACCCCAACCCAGCCTGAAGGCTCAGATTTACCTTCGATTTCCAGTGGGGGGGGGGGCCGGGAAACGTCGAAAAAACACGTGTGGAACCCTTACCCCCCCCCAACCCGCAATTCGGGTCTTCGGATTGGGTCGGGGTGGTCTGATGGGTAGTCACGAGTTCCGCCCGGCTCAGAAAAGAACGGGGAGCAAAACAACGGGAAACTCTGGGGTACACCCAAAAGGGACGGCTCGGACGCGCCCCACATCGGGGCTGGGCGCCCCCCTATCGTACACCCCAGGGCTGGGCCAGAAAATGCTGGCCCAATCTCGACAGCCCCACGAAGCCTGGGTTAGGGGTCGACGTATCCGCTGCCACACTGTCACGCGAGCGCTGCTCGAAGAAGATCAAGCGGCGTAAACATAGACCGAGAGAGCCGTGCGGATTTCTCGCGTCTGCGCCAGAGGCCCCCCCTTTGCGGCGCCTCTGGCGCCAGCCCTGGCGCGCTCCGCGCGCCAGGGAATGGGGTCCCGGCGCCGCTCCAAGAAATCCGCGCGGGTTATGCCAGCCACGCGCAGAGAGGGGTGGGGGGAGGGGGGAGGCCTTCTTAGAAGCACCCCTGCTTCTTAGAAGGCGCGGGCCTTATCTATAGATGTAAGGCCGGCGCCTTCTAAGAAGCAGCCTGCTTCTAAAAAGCCTTCCCTTCTCCCCCCACCCCCTTGTGCGCGCCGCCAGTTATGTTTCTGGAGCTGTTTCTTCCAACTGCTGGGCCGTGTCGGAGCGCTCTCGGAGAGTCTCGGAGCGCCGTCTTGGGGCGCTCGGGGGGCCCGCTGTTTGGGGGTTCCTCGGCGCTCGCCCGAGGCAGTCGGCAACCGCAGAGCACCCATCAGGGGGCCACGTGCGAGCCCTGCCCCATGCCCTCCACGACTTCTGCGGGGGAGGGCGGGGTTCCCTTCGCTCGGGAGCTCCCTCCACCCTCGGAAGTCGTGGGGGGTGTAGGGGCAGGGCTCGCACGCGGTGGCCCCCTAACGGGTGCTCTGCGGCTCACTTCGTGGGGGGCAGGTGGGTGGGCTTCGCTTCGTGCGGGGAGGGTGGGGTTCACTTCGCTCGTGGGGGGCATGGGGGCAGGGCTCGCACGTGGCCCCCCCCCCCCTGCCCGCGTCCAACGGCTGCTCCTCGGGCGTCCCACTTGTTCCTCGGGGCCTTGGGCCCTCTGCCGGGGTGCTCCCTCCTGGCGTCTGGCGGGGGGGAGCTCGGGGGGGAGCTCCTGACCTCCGGGGCTTCGTCGGGTCGACCTGGAGCCGTCCAGAAGCTGGAGAGGGCGACGAGGGGGAGCTCCTGACCTCCGGGGCTGCGTCGGGTCGACTTGGAGCAGACCGAAGAGGGCGACGAGGGGGAGCTCCTGACCTCCGGGGCTGCGTCGGGTCGACCTGGAGCCGTCCAGAAGCCGAAGAGGGCGACGAGGGGGAGCTCCTGATCTCTGGGGGCTGCGTCGGGTCGACCTGGAGCCGTCCAGAGACCGAAGAGGGCGACGAGGGGGAGCTCCTGACCTCCGGGGCTGCGTCGGGTCGACCTGGAGCCGTCCAGAGACCGAGGAGGGCGACGAGGGGGAGCTCCTGATCTCCGGGGCTGCGTCGGGTCGACCTGGAGCCGTCCAGAGACCGAAGAGGGCGACGAGGGGGAGCTCCTGACCTCCGGGGCTTCGTCGGGTCGACCTGGAGCCGTCCAGAGACCGAAGAGGGCGACGAGGGGGAGCTCCTGATCTCTGGGGCTGCGTCGGGTCGACCTGGAGCCGTCCAGAGACCGAAGAGGGCGACGCGGAGGAGCTCCTGATCTCCGGGGCTGCGTCGGGTCGACCTGGAGCCGTCCAGAGACCGAAGAGGGCGACGAGGGGGAGCTCCTGACCTCCGGGGCTTCGTCGGGTCGACCTGGAGCCGTCCAGAGACCGAAGAGGGCGACGAGGGGGAGCTCCTGATCTCCGGGGCTGCGTCGGGTCGACCTGGAGCCGTCCAGAGACCGAAGAGGGCGACGAGGGGGAGATCCTGACCTCCGGGGCTGCGTCGGGTCGACCTGGAGCCGTCCAGAGACCGAGGAGGGCGACGAGGGGGAGCTCCTGACCTCTGGGGCTGCGTCGGGTCGACCTGGAGCCGTCCAGAGACCGAAGAGGGCGACGAGGGGGAGCTCCTGACCTCCGGGGCTTCGTCGGGTCGACCTGGAGCCGTCCAGAGACCGAAGAGGGCGACGAGGGGGAGCTCCTGATCTCTGGGGCTGCGTCGGGTCGACCTGGAGCCGTCCAGAGACCGAAGAGGGCGACGAGAAGCAACTGATTTTTGTTGGGGGGCGGGGGGGGCGATGTTTTCCAAGAGTGATCGCAAGGGAGGGGGAGAACAGAACATCAGAAAATAGCATGACCCCTTCCAGACAACCAAGCGGTCCAACATTCTAGGGTCGCGCAAGCGGGATGGCCGATCATCTCGTCGCCCCCCTCATCTGCAGCCTCATCGGCCGAAGAGTGGCCCATGTCCCAGTGGCTCAGAAGGCCGCAGCACGAGCGCAACACGCTGCTCGAGCATTGTGTCTTCACCCGCATCACCAGAACATGCTTGCACGAGTCGCGCGTCGGCCCCACAGGGGTGACGAGCACGATCAGACATCGTGTTCCGTGACGGGCGCTTTCTCACCACACGGTTTGGTGAACGACCCATTTGGGGGACTGTTGCGCTACAGGTCTGGCTCGGAAGTGCGCCTCCAGCAGAAGCAAGCTGTACTAGTATACCTGTGTGCGTCTTTCTTTTCACACTGCTGGCCGAGCGTGCATCTCAACGTGCGCCGTACCCATTGGTCATTGAGAGTAGGTATTTTCGGAGTCCCAGATCCCAATCTACTTTCAACGACTTACTGTTTCAATGATCGAGTGGCTTTACCTTTTCCGTTCTCTTTAGGGCTCTTTAGGGGGCGGGAAGACACCCAATATATTGTCAACGTTTTCCTACTTCATGTTTCTACCTACTTCTTCCGACCGAAACTTCCCGTCGCATTTTTTTACGACGCGAGCATATCTGGGTCCAGGGTTGAAAAATCGTTCCTTGAAATTGTTCTGGGAAGAGTCCTGACTAAAATTCTTGACGTTTCGCGTATCCCCACCAGGTTTCGTGTCCCGTAGCACTCCTGACTCCGCTAGCGCCTTCGCTGGTGGACGCGACCGGAAAAGTATCCCCACCAGCGGAGTTGACCCTGGTCGTCGTCTATCCCGACTTCTGGTGTTTCCGACGCCCTGCATACTTGCACGCTGGCAGTTCGACTCAGGTTCAGTCTCTCCTGCCACCCGCCGCTGGGCCGCCGCGTGAGGCCTCGGCTTGCTGCGTTAGTTGTAGCCTGTTCGCGCTGCCTTTGCTTAATTAGTCTCTGCGTAGCCCGCTTTGACCTGACTCGCCGCCGGCGCGCTCGCCCGCGGCCGCTGACTAAAAAAGTACCCCCACCAGTGGCCCGCCCTAGCGTGCTCGGCGTCCGGCTTGCTTCGCGCGCCCGCGTACCAAAAGTATCGCCACCAGCCCATAGCCAACGCCCAGGCGAGTGGAGACGATCAGGGAAGTGTCAGCATGGGACAGCCGTCATCGCTCGAGGGAGGAGGAGGATAGATGAGGGAGGAAGGATACGGATGATGAGTTCGCTGATGAGGAGGAGCAGGATAAGAAGAAGAAGGAGGATGCGGAGGAGGAGGGCGAGCGGAAGGATTCGACGCTTCTTGGATGCCTTCCGGCGTCTCCCAGGATATCTCTTGAGCGCTTGTATGCTCATTGGATCGTCTTGGGAACGTTGTGGCGGTTGTGAGAAGGTATTGTGGCGTTTTGGATGCATCTTGGAAGCTTGTCGGGGCTTTTTAGGGGGGCCTTTTTGCAAGCATATATGGGATTTCTGTGGGGGCTCGTTCGGTCTCTTGGGCCCCTCGTCCTACTCCCTCCTCCCACTTACGTCTTCGACCTAGTCGGCCAAAGTTCAACTCGGTAAGGTCGCGTACCACAGGTCGCGCACCATCACCGAACAGTTGCGTACCACATGTCGCGTACCATAAGACATAAGGTCGCGTACGACAGGTCGCGTACCATCACCAAGCAGGTCGCGTACCACAGGTCGCGACTTGCCAGTCGTCAGGGGGGCGTCGGGGGGGCCTCTTGACGGGCCAGGGGCCGTCTATGAGCGTCTTTGGTGCCTCGGGGATCCTCTTGAGGCTTCTTGGGGTCTCGTGGAGTCTCTTGGAGGCATCTTGGGCGCCCCTTGGGGCAGTCTGGGCGCCTCTTAGGGAGCTCCTGGGGCGTTATGGGGACCTTGAGGGGCGCTCTTGGGGCCACATTGGGGGACATCGATCAACAACGATGAAAGCTTCGCCTCCCCCTTCGGGGGCCCTACAAATCGCCTCTTGGGGCGCGTTTGGGCGCTCTTGGGGCGGGGCTCTCTTGTGCCTCTCCTGGGGCCCTCTTGGGCCACCTTGGAGCCATCTTGGAAGCCATCGGAAGCGAAAAGGCGAGAAAGCACATCAAATTGATGTTCCATGGGTTTTAGACGGATTTTGGCTTCTTTGGGGCCTCCTTGGAAAACTCGTTGGCCACTTGGAGCCGTCTGGGAGCGTCTCCTTTCGCCTCTTGGGGCATCTTGGGAGCCATCTTGAGGCATTGCATTGTGGAGCCGTCTTGGGCCATCTTGGACGCTCTAACTACCCGCGGAATCCCCTTTCCAGGTCCAGGGGAGGGGGTAGGGGGAGTGGTCAAGACACCCCCTAGATAGCAAGCCGTCTTGCTCACTCCCACCCGCCTTCCCAAGACATGAGTAACACCCGAGCCTCAGCATGTTCAGCGGTCGTCTTTGGATGGACAGCTAATTACTGCGAACCAAAAACGAATCCATGTGCGCGACGCTGGTGCGTGGTGCGCCACGCGTGCCAGGCGCGCCTCGCACGCCAGGCACCCCTGGGGCCGGAGCGTGCCAGACACGCCTGGTGCGCTAGATGCGCCACTTGCTCCGCGTGCGCCAGGTGTGCCGCATACTCCAGCCGCGCCAGATGCGCCACGTTCGGGGCACGTGCAGAGTGTGTCAGGTGCGCCTGCGCAGGTGGCAGAACACATCGGACAACATGTCGGCCCCCACGTTCATTGTCAAAAAATACTTGGCAGTGATCGCGGGGTGGCCGCGCATGATCCAGATTTAGCCGCGAGGTGCATTTAATGCTTTGTTTTGTTAGGGGTGGCAGCCCTGCGCACAGCAGGCAATATGCTGACACCCCCGCCGTCCTTGTCAAAAACAATACAAAGTGCTCGCGGGCCTCACGAACATGACTCAAGACTTTCTGCCCCATAGTGAACTGCGTATTGTGTTTGGACAGGGATGTTGGGGGGGGCGCATCGGGCTGGCCGCGCATGCTCCAAATGTTGAGGCAGAGTGCGTTTTGTATTGTTCTTGACAGTGTTGTTGGTGGGGGGGTGCCCGCATGGTGTCCTCATGTTTCCTGGTTGGCGGCCAGTCGCCTGGGGAGGGAGTGTATCTTAATAGGGAACAGTGAAAAAACGTTCCCCCAAGGGGATAAAGGCGGTTGGAAGAAGAAGCCCCTAGAGCACCTACGCCCAGAGGGCTGGTGGGATTTGGAGGCGGATCCAGCCGTGGCGACGGGGAGTCCCCTGCAGGCCCAAAAAGGCCTATCAAAAACCAACGTTCATTTCTCGACCCTCGAGCTTTCGCTCCTCGACCCTCGTCTGGGATTGCTACACTGCGTGCGTCCTACTCAGGAGAACGGCGAGATCCCCATGGACATGCCGGGGTACATGCTGACCAAGTACCGCAATGAGTCCGAGCAGCGCTGGAGCGCGGAGAAGGAGGAGATCGCCTCCGGTGCTTTCTTGCCTGGCGCCACTGGGTGCACATCAGTATCCCCCCACTCGTCCCTCAGAGGAGGAAGAAATACCGATACCACTACCCTCGCGTCGTTTTCGCCTTTTGGGCCTCCCGGGGGGGCCCTCGTCGCCACGGTTGGATTGGCTTCGAGATTAACGTCGGAACGCATCCCGGGAGAGGTTCGGGGAGTAGTGGAACAGCTGGCACGAGGGCCAAGGACAACTTCTTGGAGGGGTAGCTTTATGCTCTCCGTGTTTGGGCCCCCACCTTGGTGTGTTCTTCGTTTGGGATGCCTCCATGACGCCTTCAGCCCTTCGCGAAGGGGCTCGCGTTCTTGACCCACGTTTTTGTGCCCATGTTCCGACTGTATCGGTTCTTTCCAGGGGGGGACAAACACACAGACACAATGAACAGTCGACCCCCAGGAAAAGATGGGAAACTAGGGGAAGTTGGGGGTGAGGACGAAAACCTAGAGAATATTTGAGAATACGGGGAGTCCTGGGATTTGTGCCATTTTGTGTGTGTGTGTGTGTCCAGGAGCTCCATTTAGCTGCTTGTCCCCCCAGTGTCGGGGGCGCCTCGTGCACAGTCCCTGCGGCGTCCCCCCGAGGCGTCCTCCTCTCCAGGCGGGGATTCGAGGGACCCGAGAGCTCGGGGACGCAGGATCGAAGCGTGCCCACGGACCCAGACCCGGACCCACGATTTTCCAACCCACTTTCGTTTTGATCGCCAGGAAGAATTTCGAGCACCAGGAAAGTACCGAGACTGGAGGTTTTTCACGCGTCGGGCCCTGGGAGGCGATGCTCGTTCGACACTGTTTCGATGCTTTTCGGGGTGTTCGAAGTTATTTAGTCCGTAAGTACGACGGGGGCAATATGAACCCAGACATGCTCGCGTCGTGACAAAACAAATCAGCAGAGAAGGCTTTTGGTAGCCTTCGGCCTCTCGGGGCCCTCGCCGACCAACAAACACGATTCGGGATGAAACGCCAGTATGCTTTTGAAAGAGTCGGGATCTCTGGGGATTTCGCATTCACCCAATCGAGACATCGCATGTCGTGGACGGTAGATGTATTGGATTCGTCTTGTCTTGCAGCGTTCCTGAACAGGTGTGTCCGTGCTCGCCTGTCTTGCGGATGTCATACCTTATCAAGTTGGAACCTTCAGATGCTGTCGTTCGGTGTGTGCTCGAATGCTCCCCACTCTTCTTTGTTCGGTGGCCAGCACAATAGTTCCCGTTGTCTGCAGATGGTTCCTTTATTTTGTCGTCCTGTGGAGCTCGTTGAGTTGGACATTCCGCAGACCACCCACAATGCACATCCCGCCAAGCATTCCCGATTCAGCTACTGATCGCGGGAATTTCGCGCAGTCTTCGTATCCGCGCCTTGCTTCGCTGCGACTGGACGTCATGGCCACGCCACTGGTTTCCTGGGAGAGACGACAAAACTGGGGCGCGACGCGGAAAGACGTCCAGGGTAGGAGGGGATGATGAACCTGGATAAGGGGCAGACGAACAGGGAGATGGAGTGAAGACGTGGCTTTCTTGGCAAGTCAAGGGCCCCTCTGACGTCCCTGCCCTCCCATGCCGTTCTTTCCTCGTGTGGGCAGCCCTTCGCTGCTTTGCCCTTGCGGCGGCCGTGCCGACGACCCTTGCGGCGGCCGTGCCGACGCCCATTAATGATCGAGCGGCTTCACCTTTTCTGTCCTGTTTAGGGGGCGGGCGAACACCCAATCTATTTTCAACGCCTTCCTACTTCATGTTTCTACCTACTTCTTCCGACCGATGGGCAAACGACCAGCGATCGTCCTTTAGGGCACCAGTGGAACAGCAGCTCCTGTTCATTACGAGCAGGGTTCGTTGTCCGCGTCGCCGCGGTCGCTGTCCATTTGAGAGCGAAGGCCGCCTGCCCAACAGCGGCCGCTGTCGGTTCGGGACAACACTTGCTGTCGGGCATCATACCCATTTTCTACGTACCCAGCAGGGGGCTTGGAGGAGCACCGAAAACACGAGCATCCGACGAGGTCTTGCAGCCCCACGGCCGGGTCGCCGGTCTTGTTCCCTCCGCGCGGAGATGTGCCTGCGTCGGCGGGAGGTCCCACGGGGGGCGCCCTCGGGCGCCCCCCTCTGGCGCGCTCTGCGCGCCAGAGGTGGCGGGGTCCAGCGCTGATCCCAGACACTTGAGCGTTTTCTTATTCATTGTTCTGCGGATTGGCGCGGGGCCTCGCACCCCCCCCTCCCCCCCCCCTATGGAGTAGATTGTGGTTGTTTTTGGCGCTTGTTTCGAGCAGGTGGAGCCTCCGTTGCAAACAGACGCCATCAAGCAGAGGTCGGGAGCCAGACCCCCCCCCTCCCCCTCCCCCTTTCCGCCCAATGTCGAAACGCTCACCATCCGCGCGGAGTTCCGACAGTTCATGTTTACAGTGGAGGCTCATGCCAAGGAACACCTTGCTTGCCACCAGGGTGCCCTGTGTTGCTTGGGTTTCGATGGCTTTGCGATGGAGAGCGCGACGTTCCCACACCAGCAATCGATGGACGTCCTGGGGTCTCAGGGTTGGGTTTCTTGGAAGTTTTCTGGTGGTCGGGCCCCCACTGTATGCAGCCTTTCATGTTCTTTTTATCAACGTGTGGAAGGGGTTCAACCGATGTTGAGACTTCGGCGTCTGGGAGCAGGGAATGCGAGACGGTAGGAGTCGGAGGGGGGTTGCAAGCATTTGACATTCGTTTTATATAGAGGTAAGCCTCGGGCAGAATGCCAGCTGGTAGAAAAGAGAGCCTCCTAGGATACCTTCTCGGCTCGCAGCGGCTCGGCTTGTAGGAGAAGGGAGGCTCGGCAGAGACAGCGGCCGCAGGAGAAGTTCGGTGAGTTTATGAACGCCATGAGCGCGGAGGAGGAGTGAGGAAGCCTCGGGGAGCTTCTCCACCTGCTCAGCACGCGCTTGCGTGGACGGTCCGTCGACGGCTGATGGCTGATGGATCTCTTCCGCCCCGCTTGGAGTCGTGGATTCGGGATGGTTGGGATTTCCGCATGGAGAGACCGACTCGCAAAGTTGGGTTCAGTGCAAGGACCTCTTGGTATCATTGTCTTCGCCGTGCTATGGTTCGGTTTTGCAGGGATGGCCACCTGGGCTGATATGCGTCGGTTTCGTTGTTGAATGCCAGATGTGCGCTTCTTCGTTTCTATACACCCACAGTTGCTCGTCCGAGCCGCTTTCAGTGTTTCGAGTTCCAGCGTCTGCATAAAGTTGTGTCGAGAGCACAGTCGTGATGGCGCCATGGCTAGATTTAGGGGCGTGTCTGTTTACTTCAAATGTGTGGTTGGCTCAGATCACGTGTGCATACATCGGTTTTTGCTGTTGTGCCTTGCTGCGTATGACAAGTTCCGCCTCGGAGCCAGCACGGTGTCCTTTGTCGGGGCCATGTTGGCACAGCCCAGCATGTCGTACCATGTATCAGCTGTCCTACCTAGGACGGGTATGACCTGAACTGGTTTCGGCGACCTTTCCCAGGCCCGAGAGGGTCGTCTCGGAGATTTCTTGTGGGGCTCTCGATCGCAATTTGCGTGGCTTCTGGGCGTCATCGTGGGCGCTTCTCGGGGGCTCAATCCTCTCGGGGGCCCTTGGGGGGTCGTCTGGTGACTGCCGTGGGCGGTATTGGGGCTGCCTGGGAATGTCTTCGGGCCGTCCGATACAGTGGGTCCGCGCTTGAAGAAGCCGGATGCTTTTTGTCAGGGTACCCTGGTTTTGTCCGCTTCGTGCCCTGCGCGGTGACTTCCTGCGTCCGTCAAAGAACCTGCTGCGTCCAGGGTGCTCCAGATTGCCCCCCAGTTGCAACTCGCGCGAGGGTGTTCAGGGTTACTTTTCGTGCGAGGGTTTCTTGCGGCCGCGTCCGCACTGTAGGTCTTTGTGATTGTCTGGAGGGGTCCCGGGGCCAACAGTGCGGCCGGTCTGTGAGGGGTGCTGTGCTTGCCCCGAGGCCGTCTTGGGCTGCTTTGGGGTTATTTTCTGGCCGTCTTGCGAGCCAAGTGGGGCAATCGTCGGGGGCAGGAACATGACCATGATACTATGTTCGCCACCGCTACTACGCACGGTATAGTGGACACGATTCGTCGTGGGTTTTCGAGCGTGAGACGTTCAACACGATGTATAGATGTATTATTATTACCAGAGAAAAACTCAAATCATAATCTGTTTAGGGCTGTAGGGATATATGGGCCACTGGGCTATTGGGCTATTGGGCTATAAGGCCATAGGCTATAGAGCTGTAGGGCTATAGGGCTATAGGGCTATAGGGCTATAGGGCTGTTGAAGTGAAGGCCATTGAAGGCTATTGAAAGCTGTTGAAGGCTATAGGGCTACTGGGCTATAGGGCGACAGAGCACCCGGTCACCCGGGCACCCCCGGACTTCTTTGGGCCCCCCTGAACCTCTGGGCACCACCGGGCACTTCCGGGCACCTCCGGGCACCTCCGGGCACCTCCGGTCACCCCTGGCACCCGGGCACCCGGGCCCTCCGCCGAAATCGGCGGCACACCTCACCTAACCATATGAATCAGCTAGGACCCCTACAAAGGCAAGCTCTGATTGGGGAATATAGTCGGGGGCATGAACATGACCATGATACTATGTTCGCCACCGCTACCACGCACAGTATAGTGGACATGATTCGTCGTGGGTTTTCGAGCGTGAGGCTTCAACACGATATATATATATATATATATATATATATATATATCATTTGTGTTGGTCGAAGGCCCGCACACTTTGTATGTGCGGCTACCAGATTATAGAGTGTCTGAGGTGCAGATTTGGATGTATTGCGGCCTCCTTGGGCGCACATTATGACAGGCAGAACATGTTTTTTTCGGAGCGTGTGCATCTGAGGGGTGTCATGGAGATTCTCTGTGAGCCTCTCTGGGTCTTCTTGGGGGCAGTTGGGACTCTTGAAGCGGCTTTCGCCGATCTTGGTCGCCTTTTCGGCAGTAGTGCGCTGTCTTTGAAGCCATCTTGGGCAGTTGGGATGCGTGGACGCCGCACGGAAAGCGTCGAGGTGTCTGGGTTGCCTCTGGGAAGGCACGGCGATGTTGGCGGGCCCTCGCGTCCAGAGGACGGGGGGAGGGGCCCTGCGTGGAAAAGGCTACGGGCGCCCGCCCCGGACAGCACAGGCATCACGTCGCTCCACCGCGTGCCACTGGGGCACGGTCGCGGATCCCGCTTGATGTGGATCCAAGTGCTTGGCATCGCTCGGACGTGTGCATTTTTCTTTCGGCGAGGACCATCGAGGAGCATCCTTGATCATTTGGCAAACAAAAAAAAACACGCACGACACAGAAAAAACACAGGGATTGGACGTCCGAGCGATGGCCAGTGATGTGGATCCCAGCGTCACCTAAGCTATCTCCATCCCTTCTGGGCCATGGTAGCTCAGCCCCACCGTCCCGCCACCCCAGTTGGGGAGAGTCGAAACCCGAAGGGAACAGCTTACATCCCCATCTAGGGGGGTAACTCGGCCAATGGGGCCCATGGCACGCCCCTGGGGACAGGGGATAGGGATCGGTCAAACCATGTTCAGGCTGGTTCTTCGTTGTGGTGAGGCAGTCTGCGGACGCGGGTCTACGGCTCCCGCATGTTCCCGTATTGCAGTTGCCGCGCGATCGCGCGATCGATGGACAAAAAGTTGTGCATTTGTCAATTTCTTGCGATTGTCGTTACAGGCTGGTGGGAACGCGAGTAGATTGTCGCTCATCTTTCACGACTGAAAGCAGGCTCCGCCTCCGCCCCTCTTCCTCCTCCTCCTCCTCCTCCTCATCCGCCTCCTTCTCCTTCTCCTTCTCCTCCTCCGCCTCCTCCTCCTTCTCCTCCTCCCCCTCCTCCGCCTCCTTCTCCTCCTCCTCCGCCTCCTCCGCCTCCTCCTCCTCCTCCTCTCCTCTCCTCCTCCTCCCTCCCTCCTCCTCCCTCCTACTCCGCCTCCTCCTCCTCCTCCTCCTCCTCCTCCTCCTCCTCCTGCGCTCCTCCTGCGCTCCTCCTTCGTGCCCCGCCCCCTCCCTCCTCCGCACCCGCCCCCTCGACCTCCTGCCCTGCGCCGCGGCCCGGCAGCGCGAGGGCGGCCCCCTGGCGCGGCCGGCGGCTGCCTGCTTCTCCGTCGAGAGTTTGCCCCAAAGCGGACTCACGCATCGCTTTTGTTCAGGATCAAGGGCACAAAAAACGCCCCTACCCTGGTTTACGAGGCGCTGTGCGCTGAAACTCCTGTGGGCTGGCAGGGTGAACCCTGCGTGATGTGCCGCGTCCTGGCGGCTCTGGGCTTTGGGGGTTCCCAAGAGGTTTACAGACCACGCACTTGTAACCCAGGGCAGGGTCGTTGTTTCATCCTTCAACAGGAGGGGAAAAAACACACAGACACAACTGATCGTGGATCCCCAGGAAAGCAGGGGAACATAATCATGGGAAGTGGGCGGGAGACGCCAACCCAGAACATATCGTAGCATGTTGGGGATCCTGGGATATGTGTCTACTTCTTTGTGTGCCCCAGGGTCCCTTCATTTGTTGCTAGGAATGGGGGCGGGGGGCCCTCCTTGGCCCTGGCTGGCTGCCGGTCGCCTGGGGGAGCGGGTGCCCACGCCCCCCGCGGTGCAGCTCCGTTCCGCTGCGACTCCTCGAGCCAGGCTCGCGGTGGGAGGGCGCAGATGGCAGGCATCGGTATTTGAAGGCAGGCGTTTCTGGAGCCCCATATTCCCATCTACGTTAGGCGCCCTCCCACTTCCATGGTCGAGTGCCTCCACCTGGTCCGTCCTCCTCAGGGGGCGGGCGGCACCGCAGGTGTCGGTGGTTCAGGGGCGGGGTCCTGAGAAATGGGGGCCGAAGGATAGAACGGGATCGAAGGGTGGATTTGCACTGTTCGGAGCACGTCCTCGGGGCACCATGCTTCGGGGCCCCACCACCGAACGAGCTGTACTCCTACGGCGATCCTGGGCCCAGGATCGGTGTAGAGATGCCTTCCTGCCCGGGGCCCAGAGGGCGTGCACGCCTACGCTCGAGGGTCCGCCGCGAGGGCACGAGGTTGCTCGCGGCTCGCGGCACGCGTTTTTTTGCCCGTCGGTCGTGGAGCGTAGGTATTTTGGGATTTCCAGATTCCAATCTACTTTGGGCGCCTTCCTACTTCAATGATCGAGTCTTGGCATCGCTCGGACGTGTGCATTTTCCCTCCGGCGAGGGCCATCGGGGAGCATCCTTGATCACTTGGCGAAAAAACCACGCACGAAACCGAGAAAAGCACAGGTTAATGGACGTCCGAGCGATGGCCAGGTAGGCATTTGGGGATTTCCAGATTCCAATCTACTTTGGGCGCCTTCCTGCTTCAATGATCGAGTGGCTTCACCTTCTCCGTCCTCCTTGGGGGGCGGACGGAGCCCAATCTACTTTCAACGCCTGCCTGCTTCATGTTTCTACCCACTTCTTCCGACCAGCGTGTGCACCTACAACGATCCTGGGCCCAGGATTGGTGCAGATGCCTTCCTGCCCAGGCCAGGAGGGCGTGCACGCCTATCCTCGGGCCGCCGCGAGGACGCGACGTTGTTCGCGGTTCGCGGTATTCGAAATCCCTGAATCATTGCCTTCCCTAAAAAACCCGACGCCCCTTCATTGGCAACCCAATTTCCCAGACCCCCGTGTCAACGGGGGGCATTCATATTCCGGACCTTTCTCGTCTTCGGCTTGAGGAAAGCGCCCTAATCAACCGGATCTCCCCGCTTCCAATAAAGGCGCCTTAGAAAACCGGACCCGTGGGACGATCATTCAGGGATTTCGAGTACGCGTTTTTTATCCTCATTTTCCTCCGTCTCCTCTTCTCCTCCAGGGGGGCGGCGCGAGAGCGCAGAGTTATTCGCGAAGCGCTAAGTGCGAGCTTAGCTGCCTTGTATCCTGGGCCCAGGATGAGCCAGGCCATGATCGCTGTAGATGTTTCGGGAGCCTCGAGATAGTGGTCAATGCAAACGGGGGTCAGCCAGTGCCCCAGATCTTACAGCATCCTGCAGAGCCAGGGGTACATTGACACGGGCTCGCGTGCAGGATGCTGCAGGATATTGCAGTATCTTGCAGGATCCTGCAAGGCCTGATTGACCCGGGTTTGCACTGACCCTGGTCAGTGTTCCCCGAAACAGTATCCGGCGACGGAATCTACAAAGTATATGTTGCTCTCCTGACTAGGCCCATCCTGAACCCAGGAGCTGTGTATACGCCCTCCTGGCCAAGACAGGAGGGCGTGGCGCATACCGCTACTGGGTTCAGGGTGGGCCTGGCCATGGAGCAGAGCGTATGTACATATATATATATATGTACATGTATATATATGTGTACATACATACCTGTGTATATATATACATGTGTGTACATACATGCTTGTATATATATATATATGTATATATATGTGTGAAACATACATCTAACTATACATACATATGGTCGCCCCCCCCCCCCCAGCACATCCAAACCACAATAATCACAAAACTTTCACTTATCGTTTGCTTGTCGTCGTCCTCCTCCTCCGCCTCGTTCCTCCTCCCTCATCATACTCCTCCTCCTCCCAGCTGTTCCCAGAGACCACCCCAATGAAAAAGCTGTGTTGTCCAGCCTTTCCAGGCTCTCCAGCTTTCGCCACAACGAAACCATTGAAGAACGCTTTGTTTTCCTGCGTGTCCAGCTTTTCCCAGAGACTACCCCATTGGAAAACGATGTGTGTGTGTGTGTGTTTCCAGTTTTCCAGCTTTTCCCAAAGACTACCCCATTGAAAAACGCAGTGTTTCCCTATTTGTCCTGCTTTTCCGGCATTTCCCAGAGATTACTAAGTTGAACACGTATGTTTTCCAGCTTTTCCAGCTTTTCCCAGGGACTACCCCATTGAAAAACGCTGTGTGTTTCCAGCTTGCCCTGCTTTTCCAGATGTTCCAAGGAATTACGCAGCAGGGTAATGTGCGGGAAAAACTGGAAAAGCTGGCAAACACAACGTTTTTCGCAGGAATATCTGGAAAACACAGCGTTGTTGAATGAGTAGTCTCTGGGAAAAGCTGGAAAGTAGAAACAGCTGGAAAACACAGTTTTTCAATAGGGTAGTCTCTGGGAAAAGCTGGAGAAGCAGGAAAAGCTGGAAAGCACAGCGTTTGTCAATGGGGTGGTCCTTGGGAAAAGCAGGACAAGCTGGAAAATGAAGTGTGGTTGCTGAGAAAAGCTGGAAAAGCTGGAAAGCACAGCATTTTTCAATGGTTTCGTTGCGGTGAAAGCTGGAAAAGCAGGAAACCACAACGCTTTTCACAGGGATAGTTTCTAGGAAAAGCTGGACAATCTGGAGAACACAACGCTTTCAAGGCCAGCCCCTGTCGCGTGCTCCCAGCGTTTGCTCGTCGGGGGCTCTGTGCGCTCGCAAGTCACAGGCAGGTCAGGGCAAACTGTCTGCAGCCAACCTTGAAACCCACTGCACAACATGGAGAACGAAGAGAACGTGGAGGAAGGGGAAGGAGAGGTGGAAGAGGAGGAATACGAATAACACATGCTCGCACCCCGCCCCAATCGCTGGAGGATGAGGGGGATGAGGAATATGAGGAGGATAAGGAGATGAGGAGGAGGAAGATGAGGATGGTGAGGGAAATGAGGATGAGAAGAAGAGGAAGATGATAATGATGAGGACGAGGGTGGTGAAGATGAGGAGTGAGGAGGAAGATGAGGAAGATGATGCAGCGAGAGGAGCAGAGGATGAGGGGCAGGAGGCGGAGGAGAAGAGATAAGATGAGGAGATAAGGATATGAGGATGAAGAGAGGAGGAAGATGAGGAGGATGCCCCCCCATCCACCAAGTCCGTCGTTTGCTATATATATATATATATATATGTGTGTGTGTGTGTACAAGACTATATTGGCGCTTCGCGCTATGCACCTTGGCCCATGACGACTGGCATGCAGGCGGAAGTCGCGGCGGAAGGGCAGGAAGGTAAAGCAGAACAACTAGCGATAACTCCTCGTCGCCTTGTCCGGTATCGTCGTCCTAATAATGTATTTCGGTGTCCTTTCTTCATGTTTCCTCTTCCTCTTCCTCATTCCCGCCCTCTCCAGAGTCTGAGAATTCTTTCCCATCCTCCTCTGCCAGTTTTGCCCTCCTCGGAGAGCTTCTTGGGGGCCTCATGAAAGTTTTACCGGGCTTCCTGGGGCCTTCTGGAGGCCCGCTGGGCGCCTTCTGGGGGCCTCTGGAGGATTCTTCGAGCCAGCCTGCTTCCAACTGCGGTCTCCCTGGACGGCCGGGTCACGATTTGGAATGCTTCGGGGGGCGTCTTGGGGCCATCTTGGGCCGTCATGGCCCTCTCTTCGGGTCTTTTGGGGGCATTGTCGGGCCGTTGTGGGCGTCTCTTGGACTGCCTGTAAGGCCTGTCGGATAGTTTTGGTGTGATTTTCGGGCCTCTTGGGCGATCCGGACGCCTGGAAGACCGAAGAAAAGAGCATTCCCGAAATCATACAAGCACAATTGGAAGTCAATGTTCTTCTGCATTTCGGAAGCCTCTTGGGGGGTGTTCTGTCGGTCGTCTTCGGGCGTCTGGTGGGTGTCTGGGGCCTCTCGGGTCCCTCGGGGGACCGTTCGGTCGCCCTCCCGACCGATTTGGGCCCGCTGCCTGGGCCCAGCAGGGGCTTCCAGGAGCTCCCACAAGCCCGGGGGGGCCTTCGACAGGGGCGTCCCGGGAGCCGCCGGGGCCAGGGGTCCGGAGGGTCCCGTTAAGAGGGGGGGGTCGCAGGGTCACCGATTTGCAAGCATGTAGAACATGTAGTCTAAGTACATCTAGAGACACACATCCATCCATCCATCCATCCATCCATACATACATGCCTGCATGCATGCACATATACAAACATACAGGCATGCTTCAGACATACATACATATGTCGATTTCGTCGCCCTGCAGTAGGTGCCTTCCTGCATGCCGAAGTGAGGTGCTCACGAGCGCGCGCCGGGCAGGCGGCGCTGCCCTACGTGCGCGAGAGGAGGATCCCCAAGATGTGAGACGGGCGCCGGCCAGCCAGCTGGGGCGCTTATCGGTCTTGCTGGCCGCGGCGCCAGCCTCTGGAGGTCTAGGTCTCCTACATGGGGTCGGAGTAGCTGGGGTCGGAGGATCGTTCCGCATCGCCGATGCATCGGCGATGCGGCTCGATGTGGAGGCCAGTTTCCTCCACGCCGACGTCGCCGATGCATCACCCACGTCGACGATGCATCGCTGGTGCATCGCCGATACATCGCCGATGTATCGGCGATGCGGCGCGATCCTCCGACCCCAGCTACTCCGACCCCATCTAGGAGGCGTCTAGCAGACCCTGTGCACGTTTCACAGCTCGGTCGAGGCATTCGTCCTACAGTCAAGCCATTGAGAAAAGGACCAGTTTGGGTTCAGAAGGGGCCCGATGTTCCTTAGGTCCTTCCGCGGTTGTTCCTCTAGCTCTCCTCGTGCACCCAGGCGTTGTTCCTTCTATCAGTAGCCCGACTGTACGGTCATCAGCCACGCGCAGTATGGGGTAGGGGAAAGGGGGAAGGTTTCTTAGAAGGAAGCTGCTTCTTAGAAGACGCGGGCCTTCTCTATGTACATGCAGGGGCATGCGCTCCCTCCCCCTAATTACCCCCTTTTGGGCGCCGCCAATCTACGGCCAAGAGGCTGAGGTAAGGATCTGTTTGAGCTCTGGATGGGCTCTGGATTACAGGCCGTTCCTGAGATCCGGGGGAGGGGGAAGGGGAGGCCGGGGTGGAGGGGGGGGAGGGGCGGGAGCTGGGGGGTCAGGCAGGCAGCCTCCGGAATGCGGACACGCAGTTCCAGAGATGCCCCGAGCGTCCCGTAGCACATTTGGGGGTATTCGAGGACCCCCGTGCATTGTTTGGGCTCGTTGGCTATCAGAGATCATTGGGGAAGTCGTTACCGATCTGTTGGCATCTCTCCTCATTTTTGGAAATGGGGTGGACGGGTGAAGAGGTGGTGTTGAAGGAGCGGGAACGGGGCGAGAGGGAGAGATCAAAGTGGGTTGGGCGCGGGAGGGAGAAGATGCAGTAATCTACATGCGAACGGTCTTCTGTCAGAGTCCTGAGAGGCCACACGAGGTACGAACCTGAGAAAAGCGTTTGAAGGGGAAGGGGTAGGTGATGGGAAGTTAGGTAGTACGTCACGGAAGCTTTCGCTCGTCTTCCATTGACATGTATGCCGGCGAGTAACATGCAGTAGAGCCCAGCAGCGCGCCCATTGGCGGTCAAAAGCACCGAACAGCGCCCCACAGCGCTGAATGCTGCCATATGAGGGAGGCGCACCACGCCCGCTTTGCGCGACATTGGACGCGCTACTGGGCGCCATGGAGACGACCAAACGTTTTCGTGAGCTGCCATCTAGGGTCTAGGGAAGGAGGGGCCGGGCCGATTTCTGAGCGCGCTCCCCCTCTGTGTCAGCTGTCCCTCCCAGGTTCGGCGGTTGACGTCTGTGGTCGTGCGTGCCCCTTCTCACGCTTAAGGGTGCGTTCCTTGGGTTTTAAGTTCCGCCTGCGCACATCATGCCTACTCAGCAGCCGAACAGATGGTTTGTTTTTATCCTCTGGTGCGTAACGGTCGTTACCCTGGTAACGGTAACGATCGTGCGTGTGAGGGGGATTCCCCCCCCCCCGCACACATGTTGCTGTTCGCGCGCAAACTGTGTCGATCACGGCCAACACTCGTCCCCGCCCCAGCGTCACAGTTCCCCGCGGCCCCCAACCCCCCCACCCGGGCAACGACCGTGGCTCGGGAGTGAACACGCAATCGGGGGAAACGTTGCGGAGCCATGCGGGTACTCCGCTGCTGGCGCGACTGCTGCCGCTCGCGTCGGCGCGTCCTCCCGACTGAAAAGGGGCGGCTCTCTCGATGCTCGCACGCTTTGTCGTGCCTCCCGATGCCCGACTCTGTCCAGCCTCGAACAACATTACCGCATGCACCTTGGCTTTAGGCAGACCTAACACTGCCCTCGCGGTACGGACCACGTATCTCCAAGGGGCCAGCCTTCCTTCTTCCCTCCCCGGTTCGGCGATCGACTCGACTCCACCATGTTCATAGTTGCCCTGCAGCAAGAAAAAAAACGGCCACCATAGGTAATCCAATCCGCGCGCCCCAGAAACGAGATTGCCCTGGCGCCGCCAGGGGTCGCGGCCAGAGTAATCCATGCATGTCGGGCGAAGAGAGCTATGCGCATGCACCGATCCTGGCAAGGCCCATCCTTGACCCAGGATCGGTGCATATGCCTTCCTGGCCAAGGTAGGAGGGCGTATGCACCGATCCTGGGCTCAGGATGGGCCTGGCCAGAATCGGTGTATGTGCATAGTTCTCTTTCCTCTAGCATTTCCCAGAGCCCCTCTCCATTGGTAACCCCAGCCAGTTCTGGCTCGAAGAAGTCCTCATGCAGAGCGGCGGCCCACGAGCCAGGACCCCTGACAGAGCCTTTCCCGAATCGAGACCTCCCTAAGTGCGTGAAGGTATCTGCCCGGCATGCTTGGGGCACTTTGGAAGCGTTTACGCGTACCTACATCTTTCAGGAGGGCAAAAAAAAACACAGACACAATTAATCGTCGACTCCCAGGAAAATATGGGAAAATATGGGAATTGGGCGGGAAGACAAAAACCCAGAAAATATGGAAAAATATGGGGAATATTGTTATTTGTGTGTATTTATTTGTGTGTCCTGGGGCCCCTTCAATCTTTCTTTCTGCCCAACCGCACCAGTTGCCCCGAACACATGCGTGAGGAACACACTTGCGACGGCAGCGGTGGTCACTTTCCGTCGCCCGAATTGTCCAATCGATGGCATCGGTCCGCGAGCCAGAGGAGCAGGCAGGTTGTTCTTGCAAGCGTCCTTTCCACACACATGCACACCCTTTCTCTCTCTCCCACTCTCTCTCTCTCTCTGTCTCTCGCCTTGCTCGTCTCACCCATTCTGCGCAGGGGCTTGCGTGCGAAGTCGTTTGCGGCTTCTTTCCCGATGCCAGACCCGTGGCGTTGTGAGGGCCTTGCCGGAAAATATTGGCATCCCCGCTGCCGATGCCACTGCGGAATGTGAACAGCGCGCGGTGGTATGCCGCCTTGGAAAGGTTCCCGGGAGGAGCAGACCCATGTAAGGTCCGATTCGATCCGCGCGGATACCGTACGGAATCCGTTCAAGATTCCGGCACTTTTGGTGACATCACGTTGTAACCCAGCGACAGCACGTTGCAACCCAGCGAGCGTGCACACGAAAGCAGCTCGAGACCTGGACGGCGAACCACGCGATGCCCGCTCCCTCCCCGCCTGCTGCCGTTGCTGCGCCCCTCCCTCTTCCCCTCCCTCTCCTCTCGGGGGCGGAAAAGAGGGGGGTGATGACTATAGGGGGGGGGATATCATGCCGTGGGCCATGATATTTCCCCAGATTTCATGGCGCCTCTTCTTATTTCATTACGTCCCTGGCCCCCCCGCCGGGCCGCGCACATGCCGCCAGTCATGATTTGCACCCCCCCTCTTGGACACCCCCCTCTTGGCCGCTCCCGATCCTCTCCCCCCCTTCCCACAGACAGGCGAACTGCGACGTGGGCCACGGCGGTGTAGGTTTCGGTGGTGCGGGAGCGCGTGGCTCTCGCGCCTTCCTACAACATCGCTGCGTCGTGTTCGCTCGACTCGTTCGCAGAGTGGCTCGTGGCTTCATGCACGGCTGGTCCCCTGCATCACCGTTACTCCAGATTTCGTAATAAAGGGAGGGGGGTCTCATTTCGGGGGGGGGTCTCTTCCAGGCTATCTTTGAGGGCCTGGGGGGGTCTGGGGACGATGTTTTGGAGGGTTCTCCCACGGGGGAGGTCTGAAAAGGCTTGTCTTGGAGGGTCCAGACCCCCTCCCTTTCATTACGAGATCTGGAGCAAGCAACATCGCCGGTGGCCCGCCCTCGGTCTTCCCCTTCCTCTCCTTCCCCTCCTCCCCCGGCACGGCGCCGACCGTCGCCGCGGTGGCAGCACGAGGGCACCCGAGGGGGAGGGAGTGGCCAGAAGCCTACCGCCGTGGTCCCCACGACGCGAGCGCTGGAGGCCACAGACATCGATCCTGGACTCGTTCGGGGGAGCTTCCTGGCCGGAATCTCGAGGCGGATCCGGCCGTGGTGGCGAGGGGCGCCCTGGAGGCCCAAAGAGGGGGAGACGGCAAGCTGGAGTCTGAGCATCGATCCTCGAGCTTTCGATGCTCGATTCTCGTCTGGGCCCGAACCTGGACGAGCCTTTGAGAAGGCTCGGGCATCCCAGTGCCGTCCGCGCCTCGCGCTCTGGGGGCTCAAGAGACGGGGGTCATCAGTCAGAGCGCCGGGTCATGCAGGATCCTGCGGGGCCAGGGGTGCATCGACCCGGGCTTGGGTGCAGGATCCTGCAGAATCTTGCACGTTCCTGCAAAGCCAGACTGACCCGGGCTTGCACTGACACCCAGGTCAGTGCTTCCCCGACACGGTATCGCGACGGCGGTGGCCGAGTGGTTGGGGCAGGAGGAGGAGGAGGAGGAGGAGGAGGAGGAGGGAGGAGGAGGAGGAGAGGAGGAGGGGGGGAGGAGGGGGCAGGAGGGGAGGAGGAGGAGGAGGAGGAGGAGGAGGAGCAGGAGGAGGAGGACCCCAGTCAGGGCCCTCCTACATTCCTGCATTTCGAGGCGAGGTGCTCACGAGATCCCCGACGCTTGGCAGCCTCCCCCCGCCGCGGAGCTCGAGGGCAGCCGGCCGGCGGCTGCGCGGCCCCGCCAGAGGGGGCATGGCGGAGCGGGGCGCGGCGCCCGAGGAGTCGGGTCCAGTTCCTTCCCCTCCCCTCCTTCCCAGGCCCCCCTCTCGCTCCTCCTCCTCCTCCTCCTCCCTCCTCCTCCTCCTCCTCCTCCTCCTCCTCCTCCTCCTCCTCCTCCTCCTCCTCCTCCTCCGCCTCCGCCTCCGCCTCCGCCTCCTCCGCCTCCGCCTCCTCCTCCTCCTCCTCCTCTTCCTCCTCCTCCTCCTGCTCCTCCTCCTCTCGGAGGTGGAC